GAGAACGAATGTTTTTATTGAATTTTTCTAGCTATTCAAGTTTCAATTTTATTGCGACCGTTCGTGAGTTTTTAGTGCATTCTATATTTTTAGCGAGCGCATTACCAGGCTCTTTGCGTTACTATTTTTCTCATAGAAATTTTTATGCATATTATTATACATAGGCTATATATGCACAATACTATATTTTACGTACACACACGTCCTTTAATTTTTTAAGGTATGATATTATTTTTATTAATGTAAATAATAAAATAATGGATTGCATTTATATAGCGCATATCCACTTATGCAATGCTCTATGCGCTTAACATGATACATATTATGGATTTACAAATCAATGTTAAAGGCACATAGTGTTACATACATGTGCACACACATATTCACGCACGCACGCACCACACACACACATACGTACACACATACACACATACGTACATATGCACATACGCACATACAAACTCACAACGATCTTCAGCTTGGATGGATTCTGTCTAATCGAAATATGATGAAAATAGAAATGCTTTTAGTTTCTTCTTTAAAATGTCTAGATTTTCTGCTTCTCTGGTAGTTTTTGGAAGCCTATTCCAAACAAGTGGGGCAAAATATGAAAAAGAGCGTTGGCCATATGATTTGTAATTTATTTTAGGCCTAACAAGGGTTGTTTTGTCACTTGATGATCGGAGCGTTCTAGGAGGCACATAGGGTGTTAAAAACTGTTTTAGATAGTCCGGTGATAAATCATATAAGCACTTGTAGCAAGTTAAAGAGATTTTATATATGATACGCTCTTTCATCGGGAGCCAGTGTAATTCTTTTAAAATAGGAGTCACATGATCATGCTTTAGTTTCTTAGTAATTATTTTGGCAGCAATATATTGTACTCTTTGTAGTTGTTGTAACTGTTCACCAGGTACACCAGCCAGTAAGGAATGGCAATAATCAATCCTTGACAATATAAGTGATGTTATTAAAGTTTTGGTGACACCAACAGATAGATATTTTCTAATGCTCCCTATTTTCTTCAGTTGGATATATAGAGTTTTACAAAGATTGGATACATGGGATTGCATTGACATATCTAGATCTAGCACCACACCTATTTTTTTTAAATTTTAGTTTGGGCTGATATTTCGTGGCCATTGATGTTTATTTTGATATTGTCGATTTCATTGCATGCGCTGCTACGAAGAAATAATATTTCGGTCTTATCCTCATTTAATTTTAATTTGTTCTTGAGCATCCATTTTCTTATATCATTGATACATCTGGCGATTTTATCTGTGAGATTGTGTACATTGTCAGTTGTAGTGAATCCATACAGCTGTGTTTCGTCTGCATAAAGATGGTAATTGGGGGCATATAAAGAAATTATTGATGACAGACTTTGTGTGTACATTGTAAAGATTACAGGACCAAGGACCGAACCCTGAGGAATTCCGTACTTTAGAGGTAACCTATCAGGCACATCATTGCCAATTTTCACTGACATAAATCTATTTTCTAGATATGATTTAAACAACATTAGAACAGTACTTGATAGTAAAAATGACTTTTCCAATCTCTCTAGTAAAATGTCGTGGTCGATGGTATCGAACGCCGCTGACAAATCAAGTAGAACCAAAACACATACTTTTTATTATCAATTTCATTTAAAACATCTGATGATACCTTTAAAAGAGCGGTTTCCGTACTGTGGAGCCTTTTATAAGCAGATTGAAAAGGTTCTTCCATGTCATTGGCCTTTGATGTTGTTGAACTTGACACAAAACGATTTTCTCCAGGATTTTTGATAAAAAGTTAAGATTGGAAACTGGCCTAAAATTTATCACGTCGTTTTCATCAAGACCTTGTGTTTTAAGTAAAGGTTTTACAATGGCTTGTTTGAAAAGATCAGGTACGATTCCAGTGGTGAGTGACATATTAATAAAACGAGTAACATACGGTGCGAGTGCTGTTTGTTTGTTTGTGTTTTTAATTTTAATAGTAAAGGGTTTTACGGCCCTCGCAACTGCATAAGGTCATATGAGCGCCAAGGGGTGGGTGTCAACAGAGAAGTCTTTACAGGGAATCAGACTTAGACTGGTCATATCTCTAGCTTCAACAGCACAAGGTCTGCTTCGACTATCAAGGCTCCCCAAAATAGCAGTTCACAAGAGAGTGACAAACATACAAAAGAGGTAGAGGAAAATGACAATAGTAAGGATCAGGAAAGAAAAAGCAGCAGTTCCCTGTTGTAAATCAGCCCTTTTACAACTCTAAAAGCT